TGCATCAAATAGGTTGATCAGAAACATATAAATAATTAGTTCAACATAAGTAATAAATGTTCATAAGCGAATTACTAACACATATTAAACAAGAGTACAAACAAACAAAAGTGTTTAGTCCGAACACTCATCACGATAACATTATGATACAACACCGAATAGTTCGCAATACTACTAGTACAACAATAGTCGGAGGTACTCATTACAACAAGATTGAATTGAAATTACACGATAGAAGTATTTAGTCCGAACACTCATTACATCATTTTATTTCCTAAATCGAAAGCATTGTTACACCATGGAATCGCCTGCTGCGCGACGACGCCTTGGCCTTGCGCGCCTGCTTGTTGTTCCTTCACCAGGTGGTCGCCTACCATCACTTGCCTGTCCAGATGGACTAGCATCTGCGCCGCTTGGAACTTCTGCATTCTTCGGGCATGTCTTGTAAGTATGGCCGCGCAGATCACACTTGCTGCAGCGTAAAGTCCTCCCACCTGCTTCTGACTCATCCATATCATTTCTGATGCGTCTAGTTTGGCGTCGACCCTTTTTCACCCTAAACTTAGATGGATCTGGAATATAAAAAACTTGGGCACTCAGCGTTGTGTAAGATCCTGAGATCCCGAACCCATATATCTCCTCACTCCATGTATGAAAGATTGCTTCTTTCCTGAAATAATTTGAGACGTACACATTGGGAGATATGCCACAATCACCGGCAGCAGCAAGAACGTGTGAGCAAGGAAGGTGATGAAGCTTCGGCTTCATACAACTGCAGGTACATCCACCATCCGCCTTCAAGACACATTCCTGCACGGCTTGCTTGCGATAGATACCACGCCTGCTCCTATCAACACACATTATTTCATACCGATGCACTTGTGTGCCTTGAGCAACAACTCTATGTCTCCGTGCCTTTTTGATTTTATCTTCCATGTACTTTGTCACTACGTTGCCAAACACTATGTTGTTATCGGCCATGGACGGACCAATTTTCTTGTATCGATCCCTAAAGTAGGCTTGCGTGCCGTGAAGGATGAATTCAACAATAGCAACCAATGGAAGTACCCGAACTCCTCGCATTACCCAGTTGTACACCTCTGCCAAATTGGTTGTCATTATGCCATACCGAGATCCATCGGTGTCGAACAATAGAGCCCACTTCTCCTTAGGCTCATTCTCAATCCACTGAGAGAAATTTCTGATGGCCGACCCTGACCTCCTTCTCATTGTTGGTGGGTCATCATGTAATGCACCAAGAGGTATGGGAGGCTCGTCACCTTCAACTTGTGGTCTGCGAGATTGCTCATCTGTTTGCTTCGTTGTCAACTCATCCAACTTGTCCCACAACTCATTAAATTTCTTCTCTTGGTTCTGTGCACAGAGCCTCTTAAAGAGCTCCATAAGATGCTTGTTCTTGAATTGCTTGTAGAAATTTGCACCCATGTGACGCATGCACCACCGACTCCGAACATCAGGCCACTTAGCTGGAAGTCCCTTCTCATCCCAACCGTTCTGCAAGTAGTCAATAGCCCGCAACATACCCGCATGATGATCATGTATAAGGCAAACGTTGGGCCTCATACGCACCACTGCAATGTGCACTCTCTCTAGGAACCAGTACCAGCTTTCAGTGTTCTCACTCTCTACAAATGCAAAAGCCATAGGTAGAACCTGGTTGTTCCCATCACACCCAATTGCTGTCAATATCTGACCTCGGTATTTACCTGTCATAAAAGTTCCATCTATGCATAGAACAGGTCGACAATGCACAAAAGCATTGATGCAAGCACCCAATGAGAAAAAGGCTCTTTGCAGCACACTCTTTGTTCTATCTTCAACCGATGTAAATGTATGTAGGTCATAGTAAGTATTATTATTCCTCTGGGCAATGGTGGCTAACAAACGAGGCAAATTATCATAAGAAGCTTCAAATGTGCCATACCTCATCTCAATGATCTTTTGTTTGGCTCTCCAGGCCTTTGCATAGCTTATGGTGTACTTGAATTTGTTCTCGATGTGCCTAATAATTGATTTTGGTTCAAAGCCAATGTTACCAACAACACTGCTGTACATCTCACTTGCCACAAAAGCTGAAGTGATGTTTCGGTGATACTTCTCCACCCCTTGTAAGTAGCACTTGTGCTCGGTCACAATGCTAACTTTCCAATAATCATTCCATTTACCCTTATATGCATGGACACGCCACGGACAATCTTCCTTCATGCACCTCACTTCATACACATAATTTGTTGACTTGACCACCCTAAACTCTCTCTGCAATGAAACTGCCCAATGCTTCACCGCCTCCTTCATCTCATCCTTATGAGCATACCTTGCACCCTCAATTACCTCGTACTCCTTATACTCCCAGGGTACATGATCACCCTCTGATATAACAAGACCAGAGAAGTCCTCATTTGCCCAATCAGTGGCCATTACATCACCTTCCTCATCGGATGATGCGTCGTCCTCCGCTTGCTCATTATCCGAATCTTCCCTCTCCATTTCATCAACAATTATACCGACTCTCTCCCCCTCATCCGCCATGCCCATGGCCTGCTCCTCCCTTGGTTGATTTTCCTCATTTTGCATCGATGGTCCAACAACATCCCCTGCATTGCTAGGACCCTCCACATCTTCGGTTTGCATTGAAACATTTGTATCTTTCTCTTGTACCGACACAAATATAACGAGGGGCCATGACCGTTCAAAAGCCATTTCCACATACCGTCTCCAAGCAGCAGTGCTGTCCATCGGCATTAGTTCCCAAAAATAACCTTCTATTGCACGACTCACTACAACAGATACTGACATTGTGTAGACTTCTTGGTCTATTCTAAATCCTCTCAACAACCAACTATAAATTGACTGAAATGTTCTCTCCGCAGGCCTATCGATGCCCTTAGATGTCATTACAAAATCTGACAGATCAACACCATCTGGACCAAATCTAATATTTCCTTCACCGTGAACTATCTGAAATGTGACCTTACTTGACATTGTGCCTGATGAAAACAATAACTGCGTTAACCTCGCATTTCTGTACTACGCCCTAAGTTACATTCTCTACAATATTGTTCTCTAAATTTCTAAAAGTAGGTTACATTCTCCAGATCAAACTAAACTACATCTTACAATTAACACTACTGTCTATGTCTCAATTCATACTATTATATTCTATGCTCTGGATCTACACATATGTGCTGTGTGCTACAGATCTGCTAAAATATATGGAACTAAAACTAAAACGCAACATATGTACTCAAACGTAATATATTAGTACAAATGCAAAAGATGTATGGGAGCATACCTGTGATGAAGTGAGCGAACCAGCAGGGCTTCGCCGCTCCCCTTCTGCTGCCCTCCCCTCTCTCTCTCTTTCGTTTTTTTTGGATTTTTAGTGAATATAATGAAATTTCATAGGGGAGGGGCTGGGCTTTATAGGGGGGAGGCAAAAATCGCCCTCCCCCAGGGCGGCAAGGGGGCCGCCTGCAAAATTCCATGCCCCCTCGCCGCCCATTTGCAGGCGGCCCCCCGCACAGTGCAAAATCGCCCTCGCGGAGGGCGGCAAGGGGGCCGCCTGCAAATTTCCATGCCCCCCCCCTCGCCGCCCATTTGCAGGCGGCCCCCCGCACAGTACAAAATCGCCCTCGCGGAGGGTGGCAAGGGGGCCGCCTGCAAATTTCGTTGACGGCCGTCGCCCGAGAGCGAACGGCCGTCTGCCACGTCATTTTCGCCGCCCTCTGGGAGGGCGATTTTTAAAAATCGCCCTCCCAGAGGGCGGTAGGCGACTATTTCCGTCAATTTTCAAAATGGAAAATTATTTTTGTAAAACTTTTAATAAGAAAAATTATAAATAAAAAAAATTCCTTTCTTGAGCATATGGTAAAATTACCCTAACTAATATGATGTATATTTATGCAGAGGATTAATACACCTATGGTTGATGCCAAATTCCTCCACCTGAACTACTTGGAGATTTATTTTGATGGTCTTGATGGCGATGATGAGGCCTTCCCCTAGAATACGATTATTTGTCTTTGGTTTCAGTTCTTGATGCATCTCCTGTTTTGGATACTTTCATCTTGTCCGTAAGTTCCTAATTATATCGGTATCTATTGTGAACCAAAGCACTTTTTAGGTGCCATCATTTGTTATACTATGGAGGTGCAGCAGGGAGGAATGAAGCATGATTCAGTTTCCGGTGACACAACCACAATTTTGAGAACAATGCCTGGACACAAGCATGAGAGACTCAAGGAGGTGATGATCATTGGATTCTGCTCCGCTACGAGCATATGGTTAAGCTAACATGTCATATACTCGAGAACGCGACATCGCTGGAAACTATTACATTGGATACTGTATGTGATGTGGATGATCTTGAAGATGTTGGGAGATGTTGCACGACTACTCTTCGCAAAACTGGCTCATGCTACCCGCTAAGAAGGGAGATGATCTTGGAAGTCCATAGAGGGGTCATGGCAATTGAAAGATACATCAGGAGGAAAGTTCCATCCAATGTTGAGTTAATTGTTCACGAGCCTTGTACCTGGTGCCATGATCTTGAACGCTTAGATGCCTTAGAAAAGGAAAACGGCCACATCATTCCCCACCTCATCTTAAGCTTGAGAACATTTCATTATTGTTAAAACGTGTATAATCGCATGTAAGGTTATTATGGTTTCAGTCATGTGTTCGGCACTGCTCGTGTGATGTCTAGGATTGGGAGTATATAAAAAACTATCGTATGCCCGATATGTGTGGAATTTTTTTAATTTCTAGCAATTTGTTTTTCTTCGTACATAAATCTTGAGACGATCCAATGGTCAGTTGGTCATAAATCTGAGTTTTGAGGGCAAAAAACTTAGAAGTTTTTGAGGAAATCTATTTTTAATATGGTATAGATATCCTGGATTCCAATAAAAGATCTTTCACATTTCCTCTGTTCCAAAGGGGCCCGAGCATCTTTCAAATACATGGATTTTAGAGGATTTTTATGTAAATTGAATTATCTCGTCGTAGAAAAATTCTGTAAAAATTTTGTTAGGTCTTCTCCTCCTCCGCCGTCTCGTGCGCCGATGCAAGCGGCAACCGGCGAAATCCCCGCGGCAACCGCCGGATTCCATGGAAATCTCGCCGGCGTCCGCCGGTAGCCGCCGCGGTCACCCACCCTAGTCCTCCCCCACAGCTCGCTCGCGCCGCTGTGAATCAGTGAATGACTTCCGGTTTCTCGCCCGACTCCGCCCAGTCTCCTCCCGGTTTTCCCCTCTCTGAGCTCGCCGAGCAGATCTGCCGGCTGGAGAGCGGCGAGCACAAGGAGGAGGAAGCCGCCGACGCCGACGCCGACGCGGTCGGCCTCTACCATCTGATGGTCGACGAGAGGTGGATTTCTGCTGCTCTGCACTTGTACTCTTATCCGATTCTTTTTTTTTCAGTCTCTTAGATCGAATTTGGATTGTATTCTACTGAAATCACACGGTTTTCGATCTCAGTGTAGTTGAAATCGCCGGTTACCGCTATCAGTGTTAGCAGATTCAGAACTTCTATGCTCGGTGCTGTGGTTGCTTAATAGTTACTGCTTAATTTCATTTCATTTGAGCATGTATGCTTTAGCAATAGAATTACTGTCCAGTAATACCATATTAAGAGTTATTGCTAAGTGTTTGAGCATGTATGCTTAGCAATAGAATTACTGTCCAGTAATACCATATCAATAGTTACTGTTAAATGTTTTCTGAGAGATTTTCTGTTATTCTGTCTATGGTAGAACTGAGGCAGTTGGTGGTTCAGACACCATAATGGCATCACCTCCAGCTTCTGCCTCAAGGCCACTGGATCCTGCATGGGTTCATGCAAAAGTAATTGGCAATTCAAAGAATGCCTTAGCATGTCTTCATTGTGGGAAGAAGATTGGTGGCGGTGGCATCACCCGCTTTAAGTACCATCTTGCTGGAATTACCGGCCAAGTTCAAGCCTGCAAGAAGGTGCCCAATGATGTCAGGCGTCAGATGAAGCAACTTGTCAATGAGCATAGGTCACGGCATGACACTCGAGATGGCCACTATTCAGGCTTTGAAGAGGATTCTTCTGATGCTGTTTTGTCGAATGGAAGCTCAGGGGTTCAACTTAGGCCGTCTAGGAAGCGAAGAACAGGGTGTGTTTCTCCGCAAGCTGCTGCAGGCTTTGAAAGAACAGGATACGTCTCTCCACAAGCTGCTGCAGGTTTTGAAAGAATAGGATACATCTCTCCACTAGCTGCTGCAGGTTGCGAAAGAACAGCATACGTTTCTCCACAAGCTGCTGCAGGTTTTGAACCAAGCAATGATGCATTGTTGGTATCACGAGACTTGGTTCAACATAGCATGGATGGTGTGGAAGTTCCAAATGATCTGTTACACAATGCTAGAGTTGCTATGGCAAGATGGTGGTATGATGCAAATATACCCTTTAGTGCAGCAAAATCTCCTTTCTATCAGCCAATGTTAGACGCCATAGCATCCGCTGGAGCAGGTCTCAAGGGACCGTTGTATCATGACCTACGCGGGCCATTGTTGAAACATCTTACTGATGACATTCGCGAATATCTTCATGATATGAAGAAAGAATGGAATGCATGCGGTTGCTCACTTATTGCTGATAGGAAGAAGAATCATGGAGAGAGTTCAATAATAAATTTTTTTGTATACTGCCGACGAGGTACTATGTTTTTGAAATCTGTCGATACTTCAGCAGAGAAAGCAAATTTGCTTGAGATCTTTGATCAGGTTGTTAGAGAAGTTGGGCCGGAAAACATTGTTCAGTTTATCACTGATTTAGATCCGAGATATAAGACTACTGTTAAGGTTCTGGAAGAAAGGTATAAAACTTTTGTTTGGTCTCCATGTGCAGCACGTTGCATTGACTTGATGTTGGAGAATCTCGCAGATCCTAGATATTTTCCTATGATTGATGAAACTCTAAATAAGGCAAAGAAGATAACCCAGTTCATATATAATCATGCATGGGTTTTGTCATTGATGAGGAAAGAATTCACAGGTGGTAGAGATCTGTGCCGTCCAGCCATCTCAAGATTTGCCACACATTTCCTTAGTCTCCAATGTATTCTTAAATTTGAGAAAGAGCTCTGCCAAATGGTTACTAGTAACAAATGGGTAAAATCAACTTATGCTAAGGGTGGTGTCGGCAAAGAGGTTGCAGCTATGATTTTGAATGCCCACTTTTGGGCCCAGTGTAAGCATGTAGTCAAGGTCACTGAGCCACTGTTGTGTGTGCTTCGACTGGTGGATAGTAATGAAAAACCTTCAATGGGTTACTTGTACGAAGCAATGGAAAAGGCAAAGGAATTGATCAGGGCACGGATGATGCATAAGGTGTCTCTTTATGGGCCGTATGTTAGAGTAATTGATGCTAGGATGGAGAAACAACTTAACAGTCCATTGCAGGCAGCAGGGTTGTTTTTCAATCCCGGAATATTCTTTAGTCCCACTTTCAAGATGCAAAGCTATGCACATAGAGGACTTGTTAAGACAATTTCTTGTCTGGTCCCTGATGATGATATTCAAGATAAGATATTTCTCCAACTTGAGGAGTATAAGAAAGGAACTGGTGACTTTGGCCTACCAATTGCAATTCGTCAACGTGAAAAACTTGATCCAGGTAACAATTTATTCCTCCATGTATACTTATTACATTGATTATCTGAGGTATTTTACCGGTGTTTATGGAAAATAAACCTGAATTCCTCGAACTGTTTTTTGAATATATGGATTTATTTTCATTCTCACAATGTTACATGTTTGTTTATTAGTTGCATGGTGGGATAACTTTGGCAATGGAACTCTCAAGCTCCAAGGTCTTGCAAAGCGAGTCCTTGGCCAATGCTGCAGCGCAACAGGCTGCGAAAGGAATTGGGACATTTTCCATCATATCCACTCAAGAAAGATTAGCAGGCTTGAACGCTCAAGGCTAAGTGATGTTGTCTTCCTTCAATACAACCAGAAGCTTCGGGAACGGTATAATAGTCTGGAATTTACTGATTAACTAACTATTTGCTAATATGATACTCTCATCATGTGATTGTCTACTTACTAATATTGGTAACAATCTTGTAGGAACCTTCACAAACACAGAGATGCCATCGACCCAATCAGCATTGACAATATTGATGTTTTAGATGAATGGGTCAGTGAAGAGCCTAGCCTTCTTTGCAGAGATGACCTGAACTGGGAGAGAATAGACGCACCATTTGCCGAGCCGACTTCTGAAGACGAAGAATTTGTCGCTATTGATGACGAGGAGGCTCCAACAGCGTCACTGTCCTGGCCGGCAGCAGCAGCAGAAGACTCATATTGCCCACCACCTGATCAAGATCCCTATCAGTATGTCACCCAGGAGGATGGAATTCTACCTTTCTGAAACCGGGAACTTCTGCTCTGTAGCGAACTGAAAACTGTCATTAGGACACACATCTAGCTAATGTCTTGGAAAACTTCCTGGGCATGGATTTGTATCGGTTTAACTGAATCTGTCCAGTTAGGAAATGAGAAGTTTCAATCTACTGCTGAAATCATTTACAGTCTGAGGCATGTGCAAAGCTTATTTTCCATCCCCCCCCCCCCACCCCCCAATCCCCTCCTGTTGGTTTTGGATGCTTCAGAGTTCAGACTTAAGCTGTGATGCCAAAACCTGGAAGGCTGGAATTTCTGTTCCATAGTGAACTGAGCTGTCATTGGGACACATATATTAGGTTCTGAAACTTTCCCTGTGCATGAATTGGTGGCATTTTAACTGAATTCTAGACAGTTCGGAAATTAGTAGTATAATCTGTTCTAAAATAATGTTCTGTTCCAAGTCTGTGTCATGTTCAGAGTTTCTTTTCCTTCCCTGTATTTTTGGTCTTGGATTGCAGTGCTTCAAGAAAAAAAAACACAAGAAAGTTACCTTCACCCAACTTGTACATTTTTTAGATCTTTCAATCTGTGAATTATGTATGATAATATGATATCAATACCTGTGGTTAAAAAACCAATACATGTGTGATCACAGCAACTACTTAACGAACAACTCCATAATATAATGCACGAACAACTCCATAATATAACGCGATTGATAATATAATGCACGAACAACTCCATAATATAATGCGATTGTGGGTGCTTTTTGTTGTTATATAATGCACTTGGTGCTTTTTGTTGGAGGGATGTTTGAGCGTATCAAATCAAGTAATCAGAAGGAGCTGACGCCACGCAAAATTTAGACCAGCTCTACCAAATTCATTTCTCTTACTGGTTCCAATGTGGGGATCAAACTCAATTCGATTATAGCTAGATTTTAACAGAGGAGATAGCAGATAGCTAGAGTAAAATTCGGAAAGAGGAGAAAAACAACATTCGCTACTCTAATCAAACACCACGAGCTTCTGGTACTCCTCCCCGGCGATGGCGGCGGCCATGACCGCCTCCGGGTTCACCACGCCATCGTTCTGCAAGAAGATCTTGAGGAGGTTCTTGGAGAAGCCGCTCACCATGGCCACCCCGGGCTGCGTCGACGTCACCGGCGTCGACGTGGAGTCGCGAAGGTTCCAGAACACGATCTGCGGCACCGCGTCGCCGTAGCCGGCGCTCCCGAACTTCCTGCAGATGGTCTCGTAGTCGGTCTCCCAGTGGTTGGTCGACGCCTCGTCGAACTCCATGTCGCTGAACACGAACACGGTCCTGATCATCTTCTCCGGCGGCAGCCTGCCGTCGACGGCCGTGCGGAGGATCTGGTCGAACACCGCCTGGAAGTTGGTGTTCATGCACCAGTCCATCCTCTGCACGAACCGCAGCTTCTCGGCGAGGGTCTTGCCCTTGATCATGTGGAGCTGGGGCCTCGCGCTGAAGGTGATCACCCTCCCCGCCCACGGCTCCTCGCTGAGCTCCGACGTGAGCACGCCGAGCGCCACGCACACGTCCATCGGCGTGCCGGACATGCTCCCGGACACGTCGCACACGGAGATGCAGTTGCGCAGGGAGCCCTTGGCGCGGAGGTCGTCCACCATGCGGCGCCACTGCAGCTCGGACACGTCGTCCTCCTCGCCGCGCATGGCGGCGGACGCGATCTCGTGCGGCAGGAGCGCGCCCGCCGCGATCTTGGCCTTGCCCTCCTCGACGGCGGCGAGGTACTGGGCGAAGCGGTCCTCGTCGTGCTTCTTGAACAGGGCCTTGTAGCGCCTCATGGCCACGGAGGCGACGCGGGTGTAGGGCAGCTCGGACCATCGCCGGGCGCTCATGTACACCTCGGGGAGCTGGAGAACGTCGCGCAGCGGCACCAGCGCTTCCCGGCGGAGGCGGCGGAGGACGCTGTAGGCGTAGTGCTCGTCCGAGAGCTGGGCGTAGTCTGGGCTGGAGTCGCGCGGGAAGAGGCGGCGGGCGATGGCCTCGCAGAGCAGCGTCGTCCTGTCAAACGACGATCCCGGCGTGGGGCACCACTTGGCGGCGAGTCCGATCTTCCTCCGCTTGCCGCCGGGGGCCAGCTGCTCGAGGTCGGAGGCGAGGAGTTCGGCGAAGAACTCGGCGACGCAGTCGAACAGGAAGCGGTAGGCGCGGTCGCCGTAGTACCTCTCCAGCGACTGCACGGCGAACTTGCCCGCCTTCCGCGCCTTCTTCGAGACCTCCTTATTCTCCGGCTTCCCGCCCACCCCCTTCTCCTTCTCCGGCTTCCCGTCCACCTCCATGGCGACGGGCTGCGCCGCCTCTTGAGGCTTCTCGATCTCCATCGCCGCGCCGGGATTGCTGCTGCTTGTCTCGGGCTTGACCTTGCTCTTGCTCTTGGTTTTGGATTTGGAGAGCTCGGCGGAGACAAAATCGGAGAGCAGCGGCTTGGACGGCGTCATGGCGTCGAGGATGCTGCCGCCACCGTAGCCTCGGCTGCGCTTTCGGCCGGCCAGTGTGGCAGCCTTCTTCTCCCTGGCCTTGCGCATCTTGTGGGCGGCCGCCTTGGCCTTGCCGAGCTTGCGGACGTCGTTGCCGTGGATCAGGCGGAACAGCAGCTCGGGGAAGTCCTTGAGGTAGCCGAACTCGGCGAGGGCGGCGACGTTGCAGGCGAGCGTCCTCGGGTGGTGCTCGTGCATCCACAGCGCGGCGGCGTAGAACCCCTCCTTGTTGGACTTGCCGGTGCCGCGCACGCCGCGGAGGTTGCAGACGAGCTTGAGCGCGGTGAGCGGGTCGTGCGCCCACGCGGCGGCGACGAGGCCGCGGACGCGGTCGGCGGGCGTGTCGGGGACGACCTGGAAGAAGAGGTCGAGGCAGGGGTTGCCAGAGTTGGCGTAGGTGGCGGAGTCGTTCTCGGTGCGGGCCTTCCGCGGCGTCGCCTTCGTCTTCGATCCGAAGGCAGCGGGAGGACCAGGAGGAGGGGGGTTGAAGTTGGCGTCGAGTAGCTGGAGGAAGGGGTGGGAGGCGGCGTCGGCGGCATCGTGCGGCGGCCGCGCGGCTCGGATCACCGGAGGGCCGAGGAGGCGGGCGGCGGCGACGGTGGCGGCGGAATCCATGGAGGCGATCGTTAAAACTTCAGGAGCTAGGCGAGACTGCGAGAAGGGATCGCTCTGGATTTCCGATCTATATAGGCCATGGCCTTCTTATTTGGGCCGCAACGGGAGGCCCATGAAGATTTCCTTCCTTATCCTGTGCCGTTGATTCGTACCGACATAGTGGTTGGACGGATGAGATGGATTTGAACCGACATTAGTGATTTGAATTGAACCGACCTGATTATGCATCTAGTCTGGGTTTCATGCGAGTCGTGCTCGCCACGCACGCATCGCGCATCTGCAGGCGGGCGAGGCGGCCATAATAATATCCACATAGGAAAACTTGGGGTAGTTTAAGATTAAACTTAATTTTGCAATAAATGTTACATTAATGTGCGATTAACTCTTTCTTACACTATATATATGCAACGTGTACATTAATTTTGCAATAAAACAAGGAGAACTAAATTATTGGTAGTGTTAAACCTTAGATAAGTTTTAGCACTACCAATGTTCTGGTAATGTAGTATCAATTGTAATAGCTTGGTAAAAATTGGTAACAATGTAAATGCATAGTAGCATGTATTATTCAAAGTTACCAAATATTTGGCAAGACAAGTTTTGGTATGCAACCAAAAAAATAGCCCTATATAATTCATACATTCATACACACATTTTTTTTGCAGAAGAAAAAAAAAGAGCAGATAAAAACAAGGACACAACCGTATAACTGTACAAAACACGTTGTGCGCAAGATATGATGCACAAAGTCTACAATGCGTGTAAGGCTAAAGGCTAGATATTTGGGCCGGGCTCAATGCAAGGCCCATAGAAAAAAATGCCTTCCTTAATTGTAGGCTCGGCTATGGCAATTAGGGCGGCGTAAATCCAGATCTTACTCCGTTGATTTGAACCGACATAGTGATTGGACGGACGAGATGGCTCGAAAGTCGTGCATGCGAGCCGTACGTGCTTGCCACGCCATCGCATCCGGAGGCGGCGCCGCGGCGGCCATAAATCTCAACTAATCGATCTCTCTCCTTCGCCTAATCTGCTCCCTTCCTCCGATTCAAAAAAAAAAAAAAATCCACCGAAACCTCGCCACCCTCCGCCGCCGCCGCCATGGTTGCGAACCCCATCCTCCTCCTCGGGCCTCCGATCGCCGTCCCAGATGGAGGCGGCGCAGCCGCCGCGGTCCAGGTGACGTGGCTCTCCGGGCGGCCGCTCACCTCGGGCGACCCCTGCCTCGACTTCTTCTTCCAGATCGTCCCCGGCGACACCGAGGTCGCCAGGGTCGGCGATCTCCTCGACGCCGCGTGGGTGCGCGACCCGCTCACGGCGCTCAAGCTCGTGTGCCACCTCCGCGCCGTGCGGGGGCTCGGCAAGGCCGACCGGGAGGGATTCTACGCCGCCGCGCTCTGGATGCACGACCACCACCCCCGCACGCTCGCCGCCAACCTCGCCGCCTTCGCCGAGTTCGGCTGCTTCAAGGACCTCCTCGAGATCGTCTACCGCGTCCTCCACGGGCCCCGCGACGAACACAAGGAGGAGGAGGAGGAGGGCGATGACCAGACCGAGTCCGAGGATGGCCGCCGCCGCCGCCCCCGCCTCCGCTTCAAGCGCCGCTGCATCGACCATGCCGAGGCGGCGAAGGCCAGGCTGCAGAAGGAGGCGCAGCTCGCGCAGTCCGTGCTCTCGCGGTACGGCTCGGACGTCAGCTTCCGCTTCCTCTACGACGGCGTCGCCGACACGTTCGCCGAGCTGCTCAAGTCCGACGTCGAGCACATGCGCGCCGGCGAGAACGCCAAGATCGGGCTCGCGGCCAAGTGGTGCCCGTCTCTCCGCTCGTCGTACGACCGGGCGACCCTGCTCTGCGAGGCCATCGCCCGCCGCATGTTCCCGCGCGAGTCGAGCCAGGAGTACCTCTTCCTCTCCGACGAGCACTACGCCTACCGCGTCCGCAACCGGCTCCGGCGCGAGGTGCTCGTGCCCCTGCGCAAGGTCCTCGAGCTCCCGGAGGTGTACATGACCGCGGGCAAGTGGGAACAGATGCCCTACGCGCGCGTGCCGTCCGTGGCGATGCGGCAGTACAAGGGGGCGTTCGAGAAGCACGACAAGTCGGGCGTCGCAGGCTTCCTGGACGAGGTGCGCACCGGGCACGCGCGGCTGCATGTCGGCGCCGCAATGCCGCACGAGCTGGTGGCCGCTGCACTCAAGGGCGAGCACGACGAGGCCGCCGAGCTCCAGTGGCGCCGCATGGTGTCCGCGCTGGCGGCGGGCGGGCGGCTGAGCAACTGCATCGCGGTGTGCGGGCTGTCGTCGGGAGGCGACGTGGCGAAGCCACCGGGCGCGGCGGCCGTCGCGCTGGGGCTGCTGATCTCGGAGCTGAGCCAGGATCCATGGAAGGGGCGGGTGATCACCTTCGACGCGACGCAGCAGCTGCACAAGGTGTGCGGCGCGACGCTGGTGGAGAAGCTCCGGTCGCTGGCGGCGCCCGTGCGCGCCGCCCCCAAGGGCAGCAGCCTGAACCTGCAGGGCGTGTTCGACCGCATCCTGACCGTCGCGACCTACGGCGGGCTGGCCAAGGACATGATGGTGAGGAGGGTGTTCGTGCTGAGCGACATGGAGCTGAACGCCAGCGCGTGGCGGGTGCAGGACGAGCTGAAAACCATCAGGTCCAAGTTCACGGCGGAGGGGTTCACGGCGCCGGAGGTGGTGTTCTGGAACGTGGGCGCGCCGGCGTCGGCGCCGGTGGTGGCTACCGAGGCGAACGCGGCGGTGGTGAGCGGCTACTCCAAGAACCTGGTGAGGCTCTTCCTGGAGTGGGACGGCCAACTCACGCCGGCCGCCGTCATGGCTGATGCCATCTCCGGCCCGGAGTACGACTCGCTCGAGGTGGTGGACTGACCGAATCCATCCTCTGCTTCCGTATGATAAGAGACGATCAGTAGTAGCTTGTGTGAGTGAGATCTAGTGAGTGTTTTCTGCACTTTGAATGGAATGAGTTTGCTGGATGCTTAATTTGGTTGATCTAATGAATGAAATCTAGTGAGATATCACGCCTTGGCTGATTTCTCCCACTCTTTTCTTTGATTTTCGAACTGATTAAATTAGTAGAATCATCCCTGGCGTAATGTGATTGCACGTTTCTTGATTTTCTGTTTCGATTAGGAGTTGCATGGGCAGCTTAATTCCCAGCTCACACTAATCAACATACATTGGCGCAACATGTTATGTTATCATAAGCTCATACGCCTTCGATCTAAGCAGTAATTTTTTAAGATGCTCAAAATGATCAATAGAAAACTAATTGGTTCAAGATGCCCCAAAGAAAACGAATTGTAAATTTGTAATTGGCAATCCACTCCAGAAAAATACATGTTAAAGTGCCATATGCGTTGAATTCGAGCAGGCTAGCCGAATATGCGTTGAATTCGAGCAGGCTAGCCGAGCAATAAAAATGTAAAGCGAAATTAAAGTAAAAGACAACAACATAAACTGATAAACATGGATACTTAGGGTATTCTCAACCCAATGATTAGGATAGACATAAATGAATATGTCTTGTATGAGACATGGTTTCTACACAACATCCAAGATATTATGTGAGATAAGTAGCATTAAAACATTATGTGAGATAAATAGCATTAAATTTAAGTATGAAATAGTAGTGTTTGCATTAGAAGAGTAGTGTCTAGTATTAGTTTCTTGATGATATAGAGTTTATGGAAACTATATCTAGTGTCTTGGGTTGGGAATGCCCTTAGAACTATTTCAGTTTGAGCACATCCCCTGTTCCATTGGAAGGATCCATGATGATGCACCAACAGGATTTAATTTGTGTGTACTAGTTATAGAATACTAGTGATTGTGCAGTAATTAGCACTACAAATATTTGTGTATAAATATTTGGGATACAGTTAGCTCTACTTTCTTTTCTCAAGCTTAATTCATTCAGTCCAGATCCGCGCAGCATGTTAGACCGCAAACCTCTACTCTCTTTTCTCAAGCTTAACGCATGTTAAACCGCGAGGTCGAGCTATTGGAGTTTCACTATTGGGGATCTCAATCTGACTGCGAAACAGGGAAATCTTTTATAGTAGTAGCTAGCAAAAGAACTAGGTGAAACGGTATCTATATACAGTACTAATACGAACATCTCTGAATATTCTCACGCTAGCTTTACACTTGAACTGGGAAGCCAAAATTCTGGAACGCCCAATCCGCAAGCTGACCGGAGCTGAACATCCAAAGCTCCGATGCAAAAGTCGGATGAGCACTTGAGCAGTGACCCGGACTGCTCTTGGCAGACGATTGTTTCTCGTCAATTTTCGAATTTCAAAGCCTCTAATTCCCCTGTTTTGCAGAATCTCTTCAAATTTCAATCAATAAAACAGAATTCAATCAATGGTATTCCTGCCGCAGATCGGCAGATGGTGGCCTTTCGAGCACGGCTCATAAGTTGGGCCGGTAACGGGTTCCCCGGTATCCGATTAGGGCCCACCTCGAACAAACAGACACGGCTGAATGTGGCCCAACCACACAGCTCCAAAGTGGTAGCATCATCGCTACAACAAAGCCCAGGCAAATAAAGCCAGTTCCAAAGTGATAATCTCTCATGTGATGCGGCATACCCAAGAATTATTATATGGACCAAAGCTCTTAGTGCTGCCATAACTAATTATGGTTGTGTTTGAGAGAAGAGGATTGGAGAAGATTGAGATGCAAAAGAGATAAATCATTATAGCATAATTAATTGAGTATTAATTATTTTAAATTTAAAAAATAAATTAATATGATTTTTAAGCAACTTTAAAATTTTGTTAAAAATATACCATTAGTAGTTTGGGAGACATGTGCACCCTCTCTTTGCTCACTTGAATGTTGCCTAATCTCAATGTACTACTCCCTCCATCTAAAAGTTTAAGCCATATTTATTTTATCAGCAAGACTAAAAAGTAATTAATTCATCCGTCATGTGATAAAACCAAACAACTATACAAATGCATGCATGTAACTAATGAGTACTAAGATGACAGATGACTTCTTGGATTCCGGTCAAACAATTTAATTTAGCATATAGTGACTACAAATGTACCTTAGACTTTTATAAAAATCAGAAAATAAAATATGCCTTACATTTTTAAATGGATGGAGTATTAGGGCCCCTGAAGAAAAAACATAGGAATTTTAGAGGTTTTCAATCCTATAGAAATAATTCCTATGGAAGGATAATCCTATAGAGATTTTGGAGAAAACTTAGCAAGAGCTCAGAGCTCTTGGAAAATTCCTTTGAATCTCTCTCTCATCCGATTCATGTATTTTTCCTAGGGCCAATCAAATGGTCATTCCTATGTTTTGCAATTCTCCATTTTATGCTTCCATTTCTATTAGAATCATGTGTTTTCATATTTCTTTGTTTTTTCTCATTCCAGTGATTCTAACGGTCCTTAAGCTTTGCTTAATTAATTTGTTCTAACTGTTTCAGCTTTAACACTCTTAGGTCCCTTTTGATTCATAGGAAAGTTAGATGATTTTTGGAGGATTTTATTCTTATGGATTTTTTCCTAGATGATCCTTTGAGTCAAATGAATAGATAAAATTGAATCCTATGAAATTCATATAAAATAACTAATACCATGTAAGTTTTGGAAAAAAAAAATCTAACATGAGGTTTAACTTTCCTTTGAGTCTTTATCTCTTATCTAATTTCTGTGTTTCACAATCTTATTAAAATCTTACGTTTTCTCGGTCCTACGGATTCAAAGTGTCCCTTACGCGTATGCCTTACCGTAATCAGCCAGCTCTTTACTGTACTACGTGTATACCAGCGACACCGGCCTTAATTTTGTCCTGTAGCTGCCCATCCACCACCCAGATCAGATGTCCCTGCACGTACGGACGGACGGCCGGATTGTCCCTTAAGGCGACGCTGCGGCGGATCTCGGCCGTCCGTGCGTCCGTCCGCTTCGCCTCGCACCAAACCAATTTTCTCCTCCACCACCGTCAGCTGCGGGCCGTACGTGCGGCCGCTGCGCCTCACTCCATCCGTACCGCCTCTGCTTTGTTTTTCATGGAGGAGGCTGATAATTAACTACTAATCAACAAATCAACTAAAAGTACTTTATATGTAAATTTTATATCAATTGGTTTAAAAGCTAAGGCAGAAGAAGAAAAAAAGCTAAAATCAACAATGAAATTAACTTTTACAAATTAAATTTTGGCTGCAGCTAATATAAAATGGTTGAGTACAGACTGACCGTTGAGTACTTCTTGGCCCATCTAATTCAATGGAACGAAATTTCAAAATTGAATCTACTTTATTTAGTTGAATTAGGTGGGTAAAATATATGTCATGTTTAAAGTATATTTAGTGATAAAACAAATCACAATAAAATAAATAATACATGCGTAGTTTTCCTTAATAAAAGAAAAGGTCAAATAACATATCTAAAAGCTAACAGGGTCATATATTTAGAAAATAGAGGTAGTATATGGGAACTGAGGATCTTGTTAGATAATGCATATGCATGGAATGGACAATTGGTATCCCAAGATAACTGTCTTAAATTCTCCTTGTGGCCAAAAGAGGCTCACCGGCGGCCATTGGTCAAAAGCCTAAAGGATCAGTCGCTTGAGCATCAAGGTTCAGGGTTGTGATCATTCCTTGCTAATACTCATCTCTTACATAAAACAAATCAAACGCCGGTCCATCATGATGATGATGATTTGATCCTCAATTCTTTTAATCTTACTGGTCTAACAACCTGTCAACCTGTTACCGATTCTTATCATACCATGTCTGAATGTCCGATGCCTGTTCTCAATTTCTCATTATGAACTTTGCAGGAACAATATGTACTGTCCTGTTTCCTTTTGAGATTAGGGAAAAATTGAGATTACTAAACATCGGTTGTTTCAGCTCCACTGCAACCTGTCCTTAACTCCTTATTGAGAGTTCAGATCATGAACTCAGATAGACAGACATCTTTGCTGAATCTTCTCAAGTTCTGAAGAAAATGGAAGGCTTGGCTACCAAATGGATCCTGGTCTCCTGGAAAGAACTGCAGCAAACTCACTCTCACGAAAGGACCTTCTTCCTTGTCCCCTTCTACATCTGCTACTGCACCTTCTCTCTCTCACAAAATCACCAGTGCTGCTGGATCTTGCTCATGTCCATTTTTACTGCTGCCTAAAAGAAAAATAAAAGGACATGGTTGCAGCTGCTACTGCCATTTGGAGCTCTGCTGCTATTCATTTTGCAGTAGATGGATGCATCGATTAACAGACAGGCACAAAGTACAGAACTTGGGAGTTTTGATTTATTTATTTATTTTAGTTTTGAAATGGGAAAGAACACAGATAAGGGATTCGAAATTCAAATCCTCTAGTATAACATATTATTCTGTCACTCTCAATGATATATAGACAATCATAGAAATTTCACCTTAATAAACCAAACCACCCACCTGATAATTAAATATTATTGTTCAAAAAACTTTGGAAGTTTTTGTTTGCATGGATGTGCTATACTTTGTGCCATACAATTTTGGTTTCAAGAAAATGATCTCCCTACAATAACGAGCAAATTGTGAGTGTTTTTTATTTCTTAAATAATGGATAGAAATCCGACATCTACATTCATACGCGGATATACACAGCCAGCGTCTTTAGGGAGAAAGATATACCTTGGCCAACTATATTGGTTTATCCAGGAAGGAGAAGGTGGTTGCAGAAGCTAAAAGCAGCTAGTAGTACTATAGAGAGAGAGAGAGAGAGAGGGCTGGTGTTAGTTTGGTTGAGTAAAGTGGCCACACATCTAGATCTAAAGCAGTAGCTTCTAATTAACACAATGTTTATTGGGTGGAATCATGTGGAGTTACTGTTGCAATTGCTTGCTTTCTAGTGCTCCTATAGCTGTACAAAGCAGGCCCGAAGGCAAAGCCTCATAGCTTCTCTATGATCTAACTTGTGCCTCTTCTTCCAACACTCTCTTAACAAAAAGGGGGTGCAAATGCATATCTAAATTAAAACTACCAACAAATTGTCCAGAATTCGGTTTATATACCACCAAAAGGTGCACTAATACTACCACTATTGCCATTCACTTTTTTGTCCATGATATTTAGAATGAATTCTTTTAGTAAATTTGGCAAATATAAACTTGCAGTATCACCATTGGCTGTTTTTGTCCATAATTACTCCTATTTAGGAAGAGTTTTCTAATATATAAAGGGGACAATTATAAACTACTTGGGCACACAGCTATTGACAGGCTGCACATATATACTTGGCGCATATTGGGTCCAAATTTGATTGATTTTGACAAAAATGGCTATACACAGACACACACTCACTACATATGGACAAAATCAACTTATGTCACTAAACCCATTTGAAATAAATAATGTTGAAGTTAGTTCTGAAGATTGTCCAAGAACGATATACATAATTTTCTTTCTCCATCCTACACTACAAAAAAAAAGGATTCCATACATTACAGCCTTGCTGCACCTGACACAGCACGAAAAGAAAATAAAAACCCTTACAGATAATTGGCATGACAATGGCACAGTAAATGCAAGTAAATGGGTGTAGAAAAATGGAGTGAAATGTCCTTTGCAGCTGTATCTTCTGATATTTACCTCTCCATGCAGTAAGTACCCAGCTGGCTTTTATTACCTGAAGAAATGTGGGTATATATATAGCCAGCCGTTGGGGGAAAGAATTTACTCCTGCAACGTTTCCATTCTTGTGGAGGAATTCATTAAGAAACATTTACCACAAGCCCAGAGAGAATCCGAGGTTAAATTACTCACTTGCAGGTGTACGTTCTCTGGCCCTTTGACTTCACTGCTGCTGCTGCCATTTCATCTTAGTCCCTTTGCATCATTCATTCTGAAATCCAAGTATGCGTCCCAGAATTCTGTCCCTGGCGATGTTCAGATATCATATCACACAGCATATTAATAAACATTATAATTCTTTTATCACATATATAGTATAGGTTGTGCAGTGTAGATTAAGAACATAGATTGGCATGTTAGATTCTACTACTGCATTCAGGTGAAAAAGTTTGAGACTGAAGAATGAGAAAGAAAGTTCAGTAATCAGTAATAACTACTACCATTGTTGTCTTATCAGCTGCAGCCAAAGTTTTACATACCATTTTAGAGTTGATTTTGAGGGATTCATTTTTCAAGATTAGCTTTTAAACGGCGAATAATAAAGATATAAAAGTTTTACCTATAAATTATTTCCGTTGCTTCGTTTATTTTTCTACGGCTTATATAGATGAACCAACCAGACAAAAATGAGCAATTCTACGGTTCTTGAGAATGTATCATGAGGTATCAAAAATTTAGTATAAAATTTGGTACCTAGTTACCATGAGGTACCAAATTTAGAGCATTGCTACCGTCCAGCAGATGGTACTGAGGGGTACCAGTAACTCCCGGTACTGAAGTAAATCGGTCCATCCATCGCGATGGGGTAGGATCGGAAATAAGCGAAAGATCACGAGCCCATCACGTGACCCCAATTTTATAATAGAAAAAGTGGTACCTTATGGTAACTCCTCAAGGACCGTAAAATTGCAAGACAAAAATAAGTGAGGAAACTGAAGTTGCAGACAGATCGACATAACAGAACACGTCTTCAGAATCCTCAACTCTCGCATCGCATCACCTCTTTCTCTCCTAGGATAAAGCGGCATATTGCTGACCTGTTCCTGAGGCAACGGCACAGACCTTAACAACCCATGTGACCTATGCGAGGTGAGCTTTTCAGGTATTCATTCTCTCTCATTCACTCTGTCTCTCTACCTATCTCTGTCTTGATCAAGGCCCTTCTCTTTCTGCTCTTTCAGAGACAAGGCCATGTTTGCTGAACTGAATCCTGAAAATAACTGCATGAGCTTTTGATGCTATGGAATTCCAAGTAGCTACCACCTGTCAGTCATTTGGCAAGTTTTGCCCAAGTGTGACTAAAATGGTCTGTAAAACTGTTTCAAATTTGGATTTTAGTTAAACAAGTTGGTGAGAAACATCTGCTTAATTAGCTTCAGTCTGAAGAGTGCCATAATGCAGGAGCACAGTGTTTCATCAGAAAAAGAAAGGACTGCACTTTGATGGTGTTAACTGTAGACTGACAGGCAATGTGTATGTATGGCACTGTTTGTGACTTGTAAACCAGAAGATGTGGACTGACCAATGTAACAGAAGACAAAAGGCCCTGAGAAAGCAATACTTGGAGCCTAACCCTGCCATGATCCATGAACTGCATGTTCTTGTAACTGCAAACTTGGATTTTTGCCCGGTTTTTTCGTCATGATACGACGTTTCGTTGTATAGATAAAACCTGGAGGAGTGACAATTCTTTTAAGTAGTTTGTATGGATGAACATGAACAAATGAACAGTTAAAATTTGGACCCAAGGTATTAAAATCCTGAAAAGTTAATATGGTAAAAAGGAGGTTAAAACCATGTCATGTCCTGATCAACAGAAGATTCTCCCTGTCTGTTCTCTCCCCAACACTGGGGCAGCACGGCCAAAATTACACTCACGATCAGAGCTATTTTCTTTGAATAATTGTGGATTAACAGACAGGTGTCCAGTCCAGCCCAGAGTTGATATAGTTTAATTAGTAAATCACGTACGGAAAAAATTTCAAACTTGTTAGGATTTCATATGCCAGAATTAACAATTATGGGGTTACCTGAATTGTAAGAATGCTGCTAGATCTACCAAAATTGTCCATGTTAATTTCACGGTGTTCATGCACGAGCTAGTTAGACTCACCAAGCCATTAAGAACAATTTTCTTACAAAAATTCTTAAGGACAATTAGGACAAGGATCCGGCCTAAATTGCCCTGATCATTTTTAAATACGTAAAAATCTACAAGATCATGCGAAGAGGCCATGAGCACAGAAGAACTGAAGATGATAATAAATGGTTTTGGTAGCTATCATAATTACCAAGATTTCTGTGAATTTTTCTTACAACCATTATTTGGCTTTTCACTTCCATCCAGTAACAGCCTCCTCAATTCTACAACTACAAATTCTCCTTCACACAAAGGCATAAAAAATAAGATAAAAAACACACATAAAAATAACACCTTATTTATACGAAGAACTATAATTTATACGATGGCCGTGGACACCAGTAAATAAATTAAGAAGAAAAGAAAAGGAGAAAAAAAGAAGAAGAAGGGGAAGAACTCCAAGAATTCTCCAAGAAATCAACCAAACCAAGAAGCCGGGCGGCCATGGGAAATTATACTGGCCAGATCGCGGCGGCATCACCACGCCCGGATCCGCTTCTTCGGCGGCAGTGACCGGAACACGGCGGCGAGGTCTCGCGGGACGTCGACGAACACCACCGGCGACGACTTCCTCTTCCCCGCCGCCGCAGCCGCCAGCCGCCGCGGCGGCAGCGGCTTTCGCGGCGCCGGCGGGCACACCGCCGGCGGCCTCAGCCTGCTCTCCTCCGACGTCGGCGTCGACGGCTCTTCCTCCTCCGCATCCGCCTCCGCCACCACCTCCTCCTTCGGCGGCGAAGGCGAAGCTGAGACCTCCGCCTCCACGGTCGTCGGCGGCGGCGACGGGGTCGACAAAGCGGTCCTGATCGGCGGCAGCGCCGGGAGGGCATCGTCGGCGGGGGACTCCATTGCTGCCTGCTCGAATTGGCGGCGAATTCGCGCGAGAAATTGGGCGGAGTGGGATCGAATTCTCGTTCTTGCACGCGTGCAAGAAGTGGGTAGAAGAAGAAGAAGAGAGAGAGAGAGGAGTAAGGTCGGGGCGGTAGCGCGAAGGCGTTAAATAGCGGCCTCTTCAATGGAGGAGAGAGAAAGAAGGGTAAAAGTAAAAAAAAAAGAAGAAGAAGAAATGAAAAGAAAAGAAAAGGAATTAGTTATGAGGGTGTAATGGTAACTTCTGGGGTTTACAATGACAAATTGTTATAATAGGACACAGACAGTAATGCATTCTTACTCGAGGTGAATTTTCCATGATTATTGGAGATTTGGAGGTAATTTTTCAAGTTTTGGGCAGGATATATATGTACTACATCCCTATATGCATTGCACAAGTTCATATATTGTATGTTTTCTGAAAATGTATTTATTTTAGCAAAATATATACATGGGCCTAACTTAAATTACTAATGCAACTTAGGTGAACACTCATGTAAACCGTGATAAAAAAAGGTCATCTAAAATCACACAATAAAATCTAATATGTTGATGAGATGATGATGTGCAACCTTTTCTTTTTTCTAAAAAAAAATCATGTCCAAGTTCGACTTCGTTTGTGGATCATGGAAATGGCAAACTTCAAACCACAACACAACCATGTCGATTTGGGATTTTTTTAATGTGATTCTAGATGATCTTTTTTTTTACCCCAATATATATAGTATTGCCTTCTTTCCATGCCATGATCAATTGACCATTACATTGTGTACAAATCACTTCTCCAATTCCTTACCATCACACTGTGCCCAGGGTGCAATTGTAGTGAGCCTAACAATAATCACAGAGAGAGAGAGAGAGAGAGAGAAAAGAGATAAATATACAGGAGTATACAGAGAGAAACCATGCATGTATGCATGGCAGCAAGGGAAGAGGACAGAGAGGCTGAGTTGAAAAGGGAGATGATACAGTACAATAAAGCCATATGCTGTAAAGTTGAGGCTTGGAAGGTAGAAGAGAGCATTATGATGGATGGATGGATGCAAATGCAGCTGATCATGCAGAATAAGGAGCAGCAGAGTCTCTTCTTCTTGTTGTTGTTGTTGTTACAGCAGCAAGCAGCAGATGGGGTAGAAGAGGGCAAAAGGAGGAAGCTAGAGAACAAGAAGGAAACAAACAACAACAGGGAGGGGAGGGGCCTTTTCTCTGCCATTCTAGTTCTGCAGTTTTTTTTTTTCAGCTCAGGCCTGCACATTGATGAAGCTGTAAACAGTTGCAGTGAGGACTGAGCTGAGGCCGCCACCACCACCTTCCCTGGTCTGCTATGCCCTGACAAATCGGTCATTTTAGTTTCGGTATGACTCAAATTTCTAATAAGATCGAGTCTATGGGAAAATATACCATCTGTAATATATTAAAATAGAGTCAACATAAAATATGTGTTTATTGTGTTTTTTAGGTGGATTTAGATGTTGGTGTATTTTTTTCTCTATAAACTCATTTAGAGCCGAAGAAATTTAACTAACAAAAGAATTATAATATGGAATAGAGAGAGTAGTAGCCAATTAGGCATTGTATTGCCAGCCGAGGTGGACCTCTGCATAATATTTCTCGTGGAAAAAATGGTTAATGCACTTTAATTTATTTTTTTAGTGATCAACAACAGTGAAAAGTTAGCTAGGTGCAGGCTTGTCTTTTTTCTAACAATGTTTTTCTTCAAACTATTATTGTTTTTTGGGTGCGGGTGGGGGAGGGGGGAGGCGGAATTGTGGAGACGACTATGTCAGTGGGGTTGATGAGTTGGCGGGTATGTATCGTCGAATGAATAGAAAGATCAATATAATCACAACATGACTATAATAGAGTCTTGCTATCTATATAAATATTAATGTGTGTTGGCGCGAAGTGTACTTCAAACTCATGAAATTTACTTAATATGTGCGCAGGCAATTTTCGTTAGTTCTATCCTCGCTTATCCATCCGAGAAAAGAAAACCAAGTAACTAATAAAATTCCACCAATTTTACAGCTTGGACAATTACCACAAATTTACAGCTAACAAATCTAAGATATCTCATCATAGCAATGAAAATATGAATGGCAATGGCATGCAAGAATAGGATGCTTCTCATCCGCTAAAAATGGTGGTTATGACTTCATGAGTAAGACCAGATCACCATGTTATACTCCCTCCGTCACGTTTTTGACTTTTTATTTATAACGTTTGACCATTCGTTTTATTTGAAAAATTAGTGTAAATATAAAAAAAAGATAAGTCATATGTAAAGTACTTTTGATAATAAAGCAATTGACAAACAAAATAAATAATAATTTCAAATTTTTTTGAATAAGACGAATGATCAAATATTAACAAACAAAAACTCAAAAAGACAAGTAATATGGGACGGAGGTAGTAACATACATGTAGGGACGGTGAAAAGGACAGTACCCTCCAATTATGGTGGAATTTACGGCCAAATGTCACTGGCTTGCAGTGGAAGAGGAGGGGAAAGGAAGACCAGATCTGGGCTCCAGCCCCACCGGATCCAAGGGTGGTTGGCAGCTACAAAAGCTGGTGATGCCACATGGGAAGTGTTGGGTTGGAAGGGCTTAATCCTTCTCCTCTCCCTTTGCTTTCTCTAACTTCTTGTTTATTTTACTCCTAATCTTTGATTAGTTAACCTCTCCCTGTACTTTTGGTTTGCAACATTGCATCCATCACTTTTGTCCTCTCCAAGGAAATTTAACTGTACTATTGTGGACAGCCATGCCTACAGCCCACATATTCTCAATTTGCACTAGTGCTGCCGTTCACATTTCGATATCAACATCATTAGAAATGATATTTGGCGAGTTGGAACAAACATAACCAATTATGTATTTTGACAGAGGTCGGAGATTTAGACGAAAGTAGGCCAATTAGGACTTCAGCCCTAAACTTACCTTCAAAATTATGGTTAAATCCTCTTAAATCACAATATAAATTTTGGGAGAAAAAAACGAACAACTCATTAGTTAAGCCCTATTTTAGCCTTACTTTTGGATAATTTCTGACCTTACCACTGGCAGGACAATTTCGTACATACATAAAGGAAGTGGTGTGGCATTACTATACTGAATTAAGTATGTGAGATGAGATGAGCATGTTCAAGATTGGAAGAAGAGGATATATACTCTCTCCGTCCCATAATATAAGGGATTTTGAGTTTTTGCTTGCACTGTTTGACCACTCGTCTTATTAAAAAAATTGTGCAAATATAAAAAACGAAAAGTTATGCTTAAAATACTTTGGATAATAAAGTAAGTTACAAAAATAAATAATAATTTCAAAACTTTTTGAATAAGACGAGTACAAATAAAAACTCAAAATCTCTTATATTATGGGAGGGAGGGAGTATATATATGTATGGGACTTGCAATGGAAGCATGCAGATACTAATCATGTGGGGCCATGTGAGTACGTGATCGCCATGCATGTGAGTGCCCATTGCCTTTTCATGCAAGGATCCGATGTATATGGATACGTAAACTAAGCATCATTCCCATCATTAGATAGCGAATAAACTACTTCCCTAATTGGAGTACGGAGAACTTGCATGGTTTGGTCTACTTTTGTGTATGCTCCCTCCGGTCAAACATGTTCATTTTGGATATGTGATCTTGATCGTTAATTTTCTACTTAATACAAAACACATTGACAAATTAAATCCAAAAAAGATCATGCATAGAATTACCTATATGAAATTAGTTCTTCTCTTAGAACAATCTCTACACATGGTTTTTGAAGCATTATCCAACTTAAATATAAAAAGGTATTGGTGTTTAAAGTTTTTAAAAGTTTGATACGAAACTTGTCCAGAACGACATATTATTGTGACAGAGTACTATGGAGTACTACTACTCTGTGTAGTACTTCCTCCGTCCCAAAATGAAGTCATTTTTGAGGTTGGCACGGGTATTAAGAAAGTAGGTGAGAATGATTGGAGAAAGTGTGTGATTGGTTGAAAAGAGAAAGTAGGTGAAGAAGAATGGTTGTGATTGGTTGAGAGGAGGAGGTAGGTGAAGAAATAGCTTCATTTTGGGACAAGACACTGTGCTAGAAATAGCTATATTTTGGGACGGAGAGAGTAGCAGCTACTAATGGCTTGTCAGTAGAACTTGTGGTATAAGTTTTGTTAAACCTTTTTCCCACATTGAGTAGAGGAGTACATGGGCCAGTCCAGTCCTCACTTGACTAAGGTTGTACTATGATAAGGGGACATTAACTGAAAAAAAAAACAAGAGTATTTGACTTTGTATGAGCGTTAACAACCAAATTTGGTAATATCGACATCGGGAAAGAAGATTAGATCGAAGTAAAGTCGAAGGCGGAGATCTATTTCGGAAACAGAGCAGGAATCGGCTGGAGTCCAGATCGGCTATGATTAGGATCAGCTGGGTCTGAGTCGGGCTAGGTAAGCCGATGTAGCCGATTCCGACAATGCAACTTGATGTATGATACCGGGTTGAATTGAGGCGCTTTAAGGTGATTGCTGCACATGGGTAGAGTCCTGAGAAGGCAATTGTATCTAGTAATTAGGATGTTTTATGTAATTTCCTTAGAGATATGTTTGGGCAAAAGTCTGCCGCAAAGACTTATGGTATCTTAGAGTTTGTTAGAGATAGTAGTCATGTCCGTTATGGACATATCTTGTAATTCTCGGGTATAAATAGACCCGAGCCCTATGTAACTTTTAACACACACGTTCAATACAATCTCGGCGCATCGCCGCCTTTTTGCTTTAGTTTTATTTCGACGAGTTCTTGCTTTCGGGTTGAGCTGCATCGGTTTCGATCTTCAACAAGAGGTAAAACTTGTTATGATGAATTATGTTCTCGGGATTAGTGCTTCCATCTTTATGATACTCTAATCTTGTCTATGTAATTCGTCAAGTTATCATATATCTTACATAATCTTCGACAATATCGTCATCTAACCTACAATCGGCTAACATCTGTTAACAGAAGGCAGCCGATTTGGTTAAATAACAACGTTGACCTAGATTATATAAGATATCTACCACTCTATAAAACTTCCAGCAACTTGATTGTATAGATATTGTTCTTCTTTTCATACTTAAT